GGGCTGGAGAGATGGCTCAGTGGTTAAGAGCATTGCCTGCTCTTCCAAAGGTCCTGAGTTCAATTCCCAGCAACCACATGGTGGCTCACAACCATCTGTAATGAGGTCTGGTGCCCTCTTCTGGCCTGCAGGCACACATGCCAGATAGAATATTGTATATATAATAAAAAATAAATCAAAAAAATCAAAAAAAAAGAAAAAGGAAATAATACACAGCAAGATGACGCAGCAGGTAAGGATGCTTGTTGCCAGCATGAGCACCTGAGTTCAGTCTCTGTGATAGGGGTAACTGACTTCTGCAACTGTCCTCTGATTCCCACAGGCAAGCCATGGCATGTGAGTTCCCACATACAGACAGACAGAAGTAAATATGAATAAAAGATTTAAAGACTGCAGCAGCAAATTAATCCAGTCTAATATAATTCGCTCTCTGTCAGGTGGAGAAAGGAAAGCCTCCTTTGAGGAAAAACAAGGTCAGAGTATTCCACTGAGGTACGAAGAATTTCATGGTTCACATGACACAACAAAGTTAGGAATCCTGTTACCAGCTTGATGAGATGTTATCCAGTGTTCATTCCTGGGAGGCAGGCTGGAGAGATGGCTCAGTGGGTAAGAGCACTGCCTGTTTTTCCAGAGGTTTTCAGTTCAGTTCCCAGCAACCACATGGTGGCTTACAGCCATCTGTAATAAGATCTGGTCACCCCTCCTGGCCGTCAGGGGTACATGCAGGCAGAACACTGTATATATAATTAGTAAATAAATCTTTGAAAAAAGGAAAACCTACTGGAGTGAAGAATATATTCCCTACCCATTCTCAGTTGCCATATTAGGAAATCCCCACATCACCTATTCCCTTCAGTTTCCTTAGTTAGTAAAGAGTTAAATATCTTCTTCACAAAGCATTGATCAATAAAAGGAGACAGATATGAAAACTGTTTAATCCAGGGGCTGCAGAGATGGCTCAGAGGTTAAGAGCACTGGTTGACTTCAAGGGGTCCCGAGTTCAATTCCCAGCATCTCACAGCCATCTGTAATGGGATCTGGTGCCTTCTTCTGGCCTGCAGGAGTACATGCAGACAGAATACTGTATACATAAAAAATAAATCTTTTTAAAAAAGGATTTATTTATTTTTACTGTATGTGAATTGGTATTTTGCGAGGTGTCAGGTCCCCTGGAGGTAGAGTTATCAGTGGTTGTCTGTTGCCATGTGGGTGCTGGGAAGTGAACCCAGGTCCTCTGGAGGAACTGCCAGTGCTCTTAACCACTGATCCATCTCTCCAGCCCCTAAATAAATCAATCTTTAAAACAAAAAAGAAAATTGATCAATCCAATCACACAGGAGTGCGATGTTGGTCTTATTTACAGTTTCTTTTATAGCACAGCTATTTCATGGCTGGGTTGTCATCTCTCGGTATTGTTTTAGCAACATTCCTAGGTTAAATCTTAGTGGTCACATAAAATGTGCTTTTTTTCTTTCCTTGATATTTTCACAGATATCTGATTACAGTTGGAGGAATTTATAGGAAAAATTTGTTCTATTGTTGAGCTGTGAAGCTGGGGTGAGTCATCCGTGCGAATCTCAAGAACTGTTTAGATGGAATGAGTGGGTCAAAGATGATTTTCAATTCAGTATGTGAAGCTCTGTCCGAAGGTGGAATGGTTATTTGGGAAAGATAGTGTACTATGACGCTGGTGATTTCATTAGCACAGGAAGGGAGTGTGTGTGTGTCCTTTCTGCAAGACATTTGAATGAACCCGAACGGTGCTATTCCCTGCCATTCAACAGGCAATTTGAAAGGTCATCTGTCGCTATGAATGACTGGTCGAATGTGGATACTATTAAAGATAGCCAAGCTGCTTCCCTTGACCACCTCGGCAGGTAGGGACTAACTTCGGTCTTGTCTTCTCAGAGTTGGCCGCAAGATGGTGCTGGGGAGCTCGCATGCCACTGACGGGACGCTCCTGGTTCACCCGCCCAACAGAGACTACAACTCCCAGGGTGCCATGGGAAGGGAGGCGGGGGGCCCTGGGGGAGGGACGCGAGGGCGGACCTTCCGGGTGTGTGTTTCCGGCGTCGGTGGCGGCGGCCGGGGACGGTGTGAGAGCGGTAAGATGGCGGCCGCAGCGGTGGTGGAGTTCCAGAGAGCTCAGTCCCTACTCAGCACCGACCGGGAGGCCTCCATCGACATCCTCCACTCCATCGGTAAAGGTCCTCGCGCCGTCCCCGCGGCCCCGCCGGCCCGGCACGGCCTGTGTCGGTCGGAGGCGGCGGCGAGGGGCCGGGTTAGCCGGCTATGGTGCTGCTGACTCACTGTGTGTGAGGGGGGCCGGGCCGGGGGCGCAGGCCGCTCGGGGTCCCCGGAAGCCCCATGGCTTCCAGTCGGGCGGGAAGCCCCGAGGCAGCCCGCGCGTCCACCTGCTGGCTGCTGACTCACGGTGGGCGCAGCGCAGCGTGGAGAGAGGGCCGGGCCGGGATCGCTACCCCTTAGGGTCCCGGGTTGTGGCCCGCACGAGCTGGCCCGCGGCTGAGAGCCGCTGCTGGTTACACACGGGTCGCGCAGTGCGTTCTTGAGTGACCTGGGCGACAGCCGCGCAGGACTGGCTTTTCCCGCCGTTGTTATCAGCACAGGTTGCTCCGGGTGGGAGCGCGAGCGCTTCTCTCGGAGTTTGCTTCCGCGGGACGCCGGGCACTGCTGCTCACTCCCATTCCCCGGCAGCAGCAAACGAGGACCTTTTTGGGGGTGGGAAGTTGAGGGGTGCCACACACCTCAGACTGGCCTTTGGGGGAGCTGGCCAAGGCGGTCCTCTGTCCGGTGTAGACTGTGAGGAGGCGAAGTGTCGGGGTGGGGACCGCCGGGACAGAGGAGGTGACTAATTCTCCCCAGTAGGGGTTGAAGTTAGTTCAGAGTTAGCTGTCTGTTGTTCAGGGAACTCTTTGGAACCGGCCGGCCGCACATTGCCGGAGGAAAAGAAAATTTTAACTTCGTAGTGTGATTGTCAACTGAGGGCAACAGGAAAGTTGAAATAGGAGCCTTCGGCCGCTCGCTCTCTACTGGGATTCAGGTGTGAACAGAAATAAAGGGACGATGGCAGAGAAGGCTTTTTACTTTTTCCTCAGTCCTGGAGAGTTCGGGTAGGGCATGAACTCCTTGTGCTAATGTGATAGTGGAGCCCGGGAAGATTGGGATTAGCTCAACAAGTAGTGAGTGCAGGTGGGTGTAGGACTCCCAGGATGTTGATGCTGGTGTTGACTTAGTCTGCAGTTATCAAGACTTGCACAGAGAAAGGACAAGAGCTTGATGTCTTTATCTTCGGGGTACTAGAAAAGGAGCGGAAATGGTGATCACAGTGCATTTTGAAGGAATAATGATCGCGTGCCTTTCGAAGTTTTGATCCCGAGTCAAGAGTGCCAGAGTCATCCGACTATTGCTCCATAGGTGTTTTTATGTGAACACAGTTCATATTTAGAACTGATCTGAGGAGCGTGAGGCGTGAGTTTAAACTTTTTTTTGTGCTTAATTCGTTTGCCTTTGAGAAAGTAGAAATTACTGATAAGCGTTGCATTAGAGTATTTCTTGGTTGTTCACTTCACTAAAGGACAGTCCCCAGCAGGCTTCCCTGTTAGAGCGGGCTTGAGTCATGATGATTGACAGCCTTACTTTTCCCAGACTCCATCATGAAGTATCAAAGTCTTGGTTTTTGTCAAGTCATGATAGTTTATCAGAGCAGTGGTAACTAGCCATGGTCACCAGAATAAGCACTGCAGGCTGTGGAGAGGCTGTTTGAGGTTCGGGTGGCTGAATAATTATTAACAGTTGAAAGTGGGACAGACAGAAAGTTATTTTAACAGGACCTCAATCCATTATGAGGCAGCAGTCTCTCCTAAGTGTAACTACTGAGTGTCACATCAAGGCTTGGTAGGGAATTGTCTAGAATTGCTTTATAGAATTGTTTATTCCTAATAACATTCTTTAGTTGAAGCTTTTATAGACTTAAAAGTTTGTTGAAAGACTTGGTTATAGTCATCAATAACTTTATAATTTGATTTTAGTTTATGATAGGTAAATGCACAGGCATTTTCCTAAAAAATATCTTCATACAACATAGTGTCTAGCATGGGGGTCATCACCATAACTGGGAAGAATTTGCTTTAGTTTTACTTTTAACAAGTATAGCAGCAGAAATTTTAGTATCTGGGTGAGATGAATTCTAAGGGATTGATAAAAAGGCCCACTTAGAAGATCCCCCCCCCCCCCCAGATGAGGTTTTGCTGTAACTTTGGAGACTGTCTTGGAACTAGCTCTTGTAGACCAGGCTGGTCTTGAACTCATAGAGATCCTCTTGTCTCTACTTTCTGAGTGCTGGGATTAAAGGTGTGCACCACCACTGCCCAGCAGAGTCTTTTTTTATTCTTACTATGAGGCATGTTCTATAGATACTTGGGCATTTTACCTTTTTAAGCCCTTCTTTGGTGGTTTCATTTGGGGTTTATTATTTTATATGTATGCATATTTTGTCTCCATATCATACGCATGCCTGGTGCCTCTAGAGGTCAGAAAAGGCCATCAGATCCCCTAGAACTGGAGTTACAGATGGTTGTGAGCCACTGTATGGGTGCTGGGATTTGAACTCTGGAAGAACAGTCAGTGCTTTTAACCACTGAGTCATAGCTTTGGTAGTTTCATTTGGGAAATAGGGTAGAGTTCATAATAGCGCTTTTAAGGATGAATTTTCCCGTTCATTTTTTTTAAATCATATTTTAAGAGTTCATTTTCTTTTCTCAGTGAAACGTGACATTCAAGAAAATGATGAGGAGGCAGTCCAGGTCAAAGAGCAGAGCATCCTTGAACTGGGGTCTCTCCTGGCGAAGACTGGACAAGCTGCTGGTAAGTCTTAAAAACAGATTGTACCTATAATACTTTTGTCTGAAACATCAGGTGGAGTTTCCCTCCGAACACCGACTGTACCTAACACCCAGTTCATTTATTTTCCTAACAACTTGTTGTTCTTCAATTTTGTAACAGAAAAGTGTAGAATTTGTTCTCCAGGTGAGGGAAAGTTCTGTTTTTGTTGGAATGTAGTGATCTGTGATTTGTTTCTTATTTTTGAATTATCATTGTATTTCCTTACATATAGGCAGGAGCAGTCTTCAGCAATTTTATTGCTAGCTCTGGTATATTTAAAGAGAGTTCTTTATTTGAAAATAGGGCTCTGGATTGTATCTAAGTGACTCACTTTTTCTGATGCAGAATGAGTAAGACATAAAGTAGTGCCTTCCTAAGACTTCTTCCTTGGTACTGGGGACTTTTGCACTTTGTTATTCAGGTGTGCCAGTGGTAATTGAACCATTGGCTGTCTGGACTTAAGGTGATAGTTCTGTTGACTAGAAAGGACCTGTGATCAGTAAAGTGGTAATAATATTATAAGTGTGCTTAAACTTAAATGGGTAATTTTTGTCTCTTTAAAGTGAACTTAGAGGGTCTGGAGAGATGGCCCAGGAGTTGTGAGTATTTATTGCTCTTGTAGGGGATCTGGACCAGCACCCACATGGCGTCTCATAATAATCTGTAACTACAGTCTTAGGGGATCTGATGCCCTTGTCTGACCTCTGAGGGCACCAGGCATGCTCATGGTACACAGATGTACATTCATATGCATAGTATAAATCATAAAAGAAGTTAAGTTGAATTTAGAATTACTTGATTAGAATGAAGTGGGTTCTGGGAAGTCACTTTATGTGTTTTATTTTTTGTTTTTTTTTCGAGACAGGGTTTCTCTGTGGTTTTGGAGCCTGTCCTGGAACTAGCTCTTGTAGACCAGGCTGGTCTCGAACTCCCAGAGATCTACCTGCCTCTGCCTCCCGAGTGCTGGGATTAAAGGCGTGCGCCACCACCGCCCGGCACTTCATGTGTTTCTTTCTTTCAGTTTATGTCCTAAGCTCAGAGAATGGTGTATCCAGATAGTATAATAAAATTTCTTGAGCTTGTAAATAAAGATCTGTAATTAATGATAATTTGTCTTTCTAATTACTGGCTCAATCAGTAAAAAGTTAAGAAAAGACGTGAAATGGTGCATACCTGTTATCTTAACACTTTGGAGAAGAGGCAGTTAATTTCTGTGAGTTTGAGATCAACTCAGTCTACATAGTGAGTTCTAGGACAATCAGGACTCATAGTCCTGTCTCAAAAAAGAAAAAGAAATCAAACCCTAACAAAGCCAACCTTGTTATCTAGTATATACAGTAAATGTTTCTCAATAATTTCTCTCTAGTGAGGTTTCTGAAACCCCATTTCCTGCTTCTCTTCTTCAGTCTTCCCTCTCTAATGTGATATAGTGTCTTCAAAAGCTCTTCTGTCCACTTACTGTTTCCTAAGACAGTTTGATCTTTATGGGTTGGTATTCACAGAGCAGAAATCCTGAGGTCTTGGAGCCTCTTGTATTAATTTACCTATCTGTGCAATTAACTATATGATAAGACTTCTGTAGAATATTAGCTTTGAAAATATGTCTTTCCCCTTAATGTTCAGTTTTGTTTTATTGTGCATTTGATAATTACCTGGCACTATGCTAAGTACTCTACCTAAAAAGTTTAAGATAGGATTTCTGGTGGAAAATAGTACTTGGAGGCCAATGAATAAAATAAGGTCTGATGTATAGTAGTAATCGAAAGTAATTCTGAGCATTAGCAAACAAGATGCCTAAGTTCAGGGTCTGTGGAAATTTTCTCCCAGGACTTGATAAAAAGATCTGCTGAGTCTGTTAGGTTCTAAGAAGGAGATTCTGATCCTCATTCCCATGATACTGGGAATATGATTTTTATGAAATTAAAGGAATATACAAACATGGAAAGAAACTGAATGGGTATAAGAATGAACACTCAATAGTAATAGACTAAAATAGAAAATGAGATTAAAAACAGATAGTTCAGATCATGTGTTCCTCTCTTGAGGTAAGAATAGTATTTAGAAAAAATAATGCTAGCAGATGCTAGAGATAAAGGCAGACACCTTAGCTCATGTCTCACTTCTGCCTTTTCTAGGAAGGAAAATGGTTTTCAAACAGAAAAGATAAAATAACATCAGAGAATTAAAGATAAGGTAGGTGAGAGAAGAGAGAACACATGGTCTTTATAAGTTCCTTTCTCTTGGCTCTGACAGTTTTTGTCTGTTGGCATCAAAGGAATATTAGCAGAGAAATTATGAGGTCGAAGTATATGAACACTGAGAGTAGGCAAATATTATTCCACTTTCCAAAAAGGTAATGAGAAGGCTAGATTAAACTATTCCAAACTATTGGGTGATGGTGGCACATGCCAGGCAGGTGAATCTCTGAGTTTGAGGCCAGCTTGGTCTGCAGAAGATCAAGTCCCAGGACAGCCAAGGTTGTTACAGAGAGAAGCCTTGTCTTGAAAATCCTCCCCCCCCTAAAAAGATTGGAATAAGCTCCTTTCTGAATATATTAGTTACTAAAATATAAAAGAAAGAATATTGTTCAGACTACTTATAATAAACTGCCCCCCTCGACCTCTACATGCATATACACAAGTCATGCTTGTATAGAATAATTATAATTTGCATAAATTTAAACAAGTAAGCTGGGCATGGTTGTGCACATCTTTAGTCCTAGCACTCAGGAGGCAGAGGCAGGAGGATCTCTGAGTTTGAGGCCAGCCTGGTCTACAGAGTTCCAGGACAGCTAGCAGCCAGGATTGTCACGCAGAGAAACCCTGCCTTGAGCAAACAAACAAACAACAACAAAAACAAAAGAAAAAGAAAAAAATAAGGTTTTGTGTGTGTTTGTCTTATCTTACTCTTTTTCATGTCTGTTTTATTCTTTTGAGACAGAGTATCTCTCTGTAGTCTAGGCTATTTCAAAGTCATTGTGTAGATTTTGCCAGTGGTTCCAGTGCTTTCACTTATTGCTGTGGGAAGGTACAGGGTGCAGCAGAACTGTTCAGCTCATGGTGGACCGGAAGCAGAGAGAAAGGGCACAAGAAAGATTTTTTTCTTTTTTCTTCTGAGACAGGTTTCTCTGTAGCTTTGGAGCTCTGTCTTGTAGACCAGGCTGGCCTCGAACTCAGAGATCCGCCTGCCTCTGCCTCCCAAGTGCTGGGATTAAGGGCGTAAACCATCAATGCCTGGCCACAAGAAGAAATTTGATGAGAAAAAAATTAGTGTCAACTGGAGTTAGTATGGAAGACTCAATAGTTCCTTAGCTGGGCCTCCAAAGGATATATAGAATTTAGGTAGATTAGAGAGACATCTCAGATGAGCTTCTGGCATGAAGGCAGCTTGAAAGCAGGCTTAAAATGAGTGTATGAGCATAAATGAGAGTGGAAAGGAAAGAAGTTTCAGACATTGGAAGTCAAAGCTTAGTCCTGGGGTGTGAGGAGTGAACTTTAATGTTCTATAGCTTACTTAGCACATACATCCTGTAGTTTGGTGCACCCTCTGAATTCAGGTAGTTGAGGGTTTCAAGGACACTGAATTTGAGTTCTCAGGAGGCCAAAGTTTGCTTGCCCTGAATTAGAGTTCCCAGGAGAATGAGTGTACAATTAGAGGATATTAAAGAGACGCTGGCACTAAGGTAACTTCAGCCTACATTCCCAAAATACTTCTTGTTTAGTTAAAGCATTGACTAGGGCTGGAAAGAGGGCTCAGAAAAGAATACTTTTTTTTTTCTTTCTTTTCTTTTTTTTTTTTTTTTGGGCGAGACAGGGTTTCTCTGTGGTTTTGGAGCCTGTCCTGGAACTAGCTCTGTAGACCAGGCTGGTCTCGAACTCACAGAGATCCACCTGCCTTTGCCTCCCAAGTGCTGGAATTAAAGGCGTGCGCCACTGCCGCCCGGCAAGAATACTTGTTACTCTTGCAGAAGACCCAGGTTTGATTCCCAACACCCATATTGAGAGGCTTACAACCACTTGTAACTCTAGCTCTAGGAGCATCTTGAGTCCTCTGACCTTTGACCTTCAAGGACATTTGTGCTTATGTAGTTTCACGTAAGCATAATTAAAAACAATAAACATAAATCTTTAAGCTGGGCATGGTAGCATCACCTTTAATCCCAGCACTAAGGAAGCAGAGGCAGGTGGCTCTCTGTGTGTTCAAGGCCAAACTGTTATACAAATTGAGTTCCAAGACAGCTAAGGCTGTTACACAAACCCTGCCTTGAAAAACAAACTCACCTTTAGTCCCAGCACTTGGGAGGCAGAGAAGGAGGATCAGGACAGCCAGCCAGGACTGTTACAGAGAAACCTTGTCTCAACCCCC